GCCGTAACTTCTGCCGCAGGCAGGGTCGGGAGAAGGGGGTTGCAGTCAGTTTTGAGCAGGCTTGGGTGAATTCTAAGCCCAGCCTCATCGTTATCTAAGAGGAGATTTCCCCCCACTCAGGAGAGGTTTTCTCTTACTTCCTATTTTGGCTAAAAAAAATCAAAAGAAAAGCATGGCAGGTGGTTTCATTGTTTCCTTCTTTATTAAAAACCTGGAAAATATTTTTGGCTTTGCTTATTATTGGTATTTATTTAATGAAATGAAGAATGAAAGGCTACACAATACTCTACCATCTCTGGCCCTCCAGCTGTGCTTTAACTACAAATCCCAACATACCTCTACCTCTGGGAGTCATGCCTGTAACTGTTGGTCTTGCAATGCCTCATGGGACTTGTAGTTCCACAACTGCTGGAGGACCCGAGTTGCCCACCCCTGTGTTAAATGTGGATTCCCCATTGCCCTGATCCCCCCTGCATACAGTTCCTAATAAGTCTTTTTCTTCTATGTGGTCACATGACTGGAACTCTCTAGCTCAGTGGTTTGTAACCTATGTAACCTCAGGACCCACATTTAAAATTGGTCATTAAGCCGTGAACCAAGTCGCAGTGGTGCGCGTTGCGGTAAGGGCGATCGAACTGTGGGTGGGAGGTGAGTTTGGGGTACCATTCAAATACATGGCAACACAACGCACCTCCCAAACCACAACGCGTGGTATGTGCGATTGCATGGTACTAGTGTGAACTGGCATTCGAAAACAAACAAGAAACGCACAAAGACAATCACACACACTCTGCAATTTGAAGACACACTTTGCTGGGCGATGTATATTTGTTTGATATGGATTCATTATTTATTTAGTATTAAAGTTTAATACTACTTTAACCCCTTCGTGACTGACGACGTACAGTGTACGTCGAATTTGAGCCCAAGCACTTACAGTCATCATGTTTCCAAACAGCTTCAACTCTCTCAGCTTGGCCTCTCTGAACTTCCTGTCTAGTACAAGGTCACAAGGTCCATCTACTAGCTTGGAGAAGAGAGGAAGGAGAAAAGAAGAGCAGTGAGCAGAGGATTAACTTGCCTTGCTGTGTCTGTGCGTTTGTGGAGACACACACAGCTTAATAGCACACAGCAGATTGGCTCCATAGGACCCTGCAAGGGAAAGGAGCCCCCCCTAAACTGGGATATCAGGACCAGTGCTCAGCGGATCAACTGATTCTACAGGAAGATAAACATTTTAAACATTAAGGAGCAGCATCCATTGTAAGTGATTTCATCAGCATCAGCCTAAAAACCTTTTGCCTTTAATTACCTCCTGGCCGGCCGCTGTGTATACACGGCCGGCCGGGAGCTTCTTGGATGTAACTGGGCGTGTATACACGTCCTGTTACATCTGCCTGCTCAAGCGCGAGCGGGAAATGCCCGTCATTTGAATGCAGGCAGTGATGCCCGTTAATATACAAGCGATCCGCCGGCTATAGAGCCGGTGGATCGCTTGTATAAGGTCCCGTGACGTGCACCCCCCCCCCTATGTCAAAGTACTGCAGCGCTGAACACTGAAAAATGGCCTGGCCAGGAAGGGGGTCTAAACACCTGGTCAGCAAGCGGTTAATATCACTTTAACCTGAAAAAAGGAAACAAATGCAGCCACAACATCCATAGACTGGTAAGCTGCCATATACCGGTAAGACATTTTTCTTCTTGGGAGCTTTAATGTACCAGGTGTTTATCCTCTCTAGGACTATAAGCTCCAGATTGAGGTCTCACACCTTCCGCACCCTTTTCTGTGAAGAGAAAAGTAGCTTTCTAACAAGGACCCCTTTGTAATGATTGAAGAAGTTGGCAGGAGATGGGAACTCAGGGGATCAGAGATCTGACACATTGTGACTGGACAATCCCTTTAAGTCAGGAGCAATCAAATTCCAGGAGCCAGCATAAGACACATGATGACAGATGAAGAGCTCATATTAGTCACTGCTTCTACTTCTGTGTCCTGTACACCATGGCCAGCCTCCATTCCATGGCTCGCACACACATTCATACAATGACAGCCATTCACTACAAGAACAAAAATCACAATGTAAAAAATGACATCTGCCATAGGGATTGCTGTGCTTACACAGCATCTTCTCTACTTTGTTTACGTTTCCAGCAGGTAGAGCGCTCACATCATTCCGTCCCCCCCCAAACCCCAGGCAGCGATCAGTCCGTGCCAGTGTGGTCACCCTGCCCACTCTCACCTTCTTGTGGTTGTCTCTGCCCTCTCCGCGCGGCTCATGTCGGCCACCGTCCCCACAGGTGCCTAAGGTGCGCGCTCCCGCCGCTGCACAGAGCACGCTCACAGTGAGGGCCACGTCCGCAAGCAAAAAGCAAAGCCACGCCTTCAAACAAGGTATTTGTGAGTGACGTTGGCACGCACGCATTTGGCTGACGCCATTTTTGATGTGGGCAGTAGGAACCTTTTTTAGTGCCGATAAGTGTTTTGTGCTCTGGCAGAAGAGCAGTGTAAGAGGAGGATGTAATCTTATTGTGTACAAATACAGCCTTCACTTCCTGTGTAACACACTGAGAATACATTTATGCTGCGCTTTTTCAGTGGTAGTCATTCTGCAAAGACTGATTGGCAGGAATGTGAATGTGGGCAGTAGCAGGGCTGAAGTGTTGTGTCCCTTCTTTAGCAATGTGCGGCTGCATGGTCGGTCATAGAGATGTCAGTGGGGAATGGTTTAGCAAGACTTAAAATAGCCTATTTTAAACAATTCATGGAGCAATTCACCCTGCAAGTCTCTGTGAGCGTGCATTCCGTGTTAAAAAGCAACAACGAATGTTTAGTATACTTTTTTTTTTCTAGGTCGAATGTAACAATCGGCAAATACCACATTATGGCCACTAGATTGAGTTGAGGAAGCATTAGTAATACATTACGGTGACTAGATGAGGAGTATAGGAAATAAATACTTATTTCCTGTGCTCCTCCCCAAGTGTTCTGCAGGCCATCAGAAAATAAAAACTGATGCTGAATTGCTTCTAGAACTAAGTAGCAAGACTATTGTAGACTATTATGTTTAGCTACTGGCCACCGGCTGTACGCATATATGTGGCAGCAAGGTGATGGGATTTAACCCCAGGCTGCCATATTATATATATTTGCGTACAGCTGGCACCACAGTATTGTGTAACAGTGCCCACACCACAGTAACCTCACTGTTACCTATAGCTCTTGGTCACAGTTTACGATTGGGAACTGTAGATGGGCTCCCAATCACATGATCGCTGTGACAGCTAATCACAGTGATCATTTGATTGGGAAGCAACACTCCTGCCCCTGGCTTTAGGAGCCCCTTAAAGGGCCTGTAGGAGTCAGCAGCAAGGGGTTAATAAAAAGTGTATTATATAGTGTACTGCAGCCAGGAAGTATGAGCTGACATCATTTTAGTATTTTAATTATGAACAAGAAAAACTTGTTAGTGGTGATGATATTTCTTCATGGATTAGCTAGAATAGGAGCCTGGTTAATTCTCATAAATTAAAGCTTTAAATATGAAAGGGGAGGCATTCTGTTTTATAAACTTTCATACACACTGGACCTGGCCCAGAAAACGTACACATTAAAGAAAGAGATACAAGTCCATTTAGTCCAACCTAAGTGTGTGTGCCAGATTAAGTTATCTATTTTAAAACTATACACATCCATGTATGTTGTGCTCATCCAGGAAGACATTCAGCTTCCAGCTGTTACCACTAATCGGGGAAAGGAGTTCAACATTTTTGCTGCTCTGACTGCAAAGAACCCTCTCCACAATTTTAGATTAAACCTTCTTTCCTCTAATCTTAAATTGTGCCCACATGTCCTCTTCAGGGATCTAAGATTAATCAAGTTGTTATTGCCCTTACAGTCACCATTGATTAATTTGTAGCTATCGATCACATCTTTTCTTAATCACCTCCAGGTAAATACATTTAGATTTCTTGAGGCCATGTAGCCTCCTATTAACTATGTTTACCTTCTCTGGACCCTTTCCAATTCTAGGACGTTCCTTCTATTAACTGGGGACCAAAACTAAATTCTCAAGATGAGGCTGAACCAATCATTTGTAAAGGGGGTCGAAGTATCAATGTGTCATGTGTCCCTTGGATAACTACCCTTTATAATGCATGAGAGTATTCTGCCTGCCTTGTTAGTGGTCGCCTGGCATCCCATGCTAAGTCTGTGGTGCACTAGGACCCCTAAATCTATTTCTATTCCTGATTCTCCCAGTGTAACTCCTCCCCAGGGCCGAATTTACTCTCCCTGCCACCCCAAGGCCAGGTTCCTCCATGCGCCCCCACCCATGGAGAATGGCGACCAGATGGCAGAGGCGGCAGGTTTATTTTTTATTATAATTTGTTTTTCTTTTTGATCACTTTTTCATTTTTTTTTACTTTTTTAAGTAAAATTTATATTTAAGTGTAAACATAATAATAATATTCAATATGACAATGATCCTCTGAAATAAAGTGCTCCCGACTCCCCATGTGTTAAAATAACCGAGAACACACTCACCAGAGATCCATGACCATATAACTCATCAATAGTCAATAAACGTAATTGTGGTGAGTGTCTTTCATACATGTCAGGGGCCGATCACTCAGGGAGGGGAGAAATCCAATATAGAAGAGGACTAAATGCGCCAAATAGTGAAGTACATAAAAAAATGGAATTTATTGCAACAATAAAACACACTTACAAGATAGCCAGAATGAAAGCGCCTTGCAGCAAACAATCGATTCCACCTGCTAGTCACCTAAAAAAACCTGAAAGACTATTGGTATTAGGCTGACTGGTCTATGGTAACACAGTAGCTAAGGTTGAATAAAGACACAGGTCCATCTAGGTCAACCTATATACAGTATGTGTTTGTGAACATATGTGTCACTAACAACTCCCATAACCCTGTAAACTAGGAAGCCCAGCTTAGTGCTTTTTGAAGTTAGCTATGCTTTCTGATGATACAGCTAACCATTTGTCTTCTGTGATGTCATGAAAAGTTATGAGCTGAACACCCCCGCGTTCCATTCTAATTCGAACTTTCGAACATGGAAAAAGTTCCAATTCGAACTTAGAACTCAATGCAAGTCTATGGGGGTAGAACTTTAAAAAACAATTGCTCGATTCTCACATCCATGTTAAAACACCACGCCGCACTCTGCTCAAACTGCGGCCAAGTCAGCAGGCAGTCAGAAAGTTGAGCAGCGTTTGGCCATCTTTATTATTATTATACAGGATTTATATAGCGCCAACAGTTTGTGCAGCGCTTTACAAGGAAGACATTACAATACAATTCAAGACAGGATGGAAAGGAGGGCCCTGCCCGTGGGGGCTTACAATTTAAAAGGGAGGGGCAAGTGATACATGAGGAGGTAGCTGTGTGGAGATGAATTGTTTGAGAACGTGATGATTGAGTGGTCAGGTTGAGGCGGGATAGGCTTCCTTGAAGAGATAAGTCTTAAGGGATCACCTAAAGGCAATCAGAGTGGGAGATAGACAAACAGGTTGGGGCAGAGAGTTCCATAGGATGGGAGAGGCTCTAGTGAAGTCCTGGAGACGAGCATGGGAGGAGTTAACAAGGGAGCTGGAAAGCAGAAGGTCATTTAAAGAGCAGAGGGGACAGTTAGGGTGATACTTTGAGACCAGGTTTGAGATATAGCCGGGGGCAGAGTTGTGGATGGCTTTGTAATTGATTGTTAATATTTTGAATTTTATCCTTTAGGCTATTGGAAGCCAGTGCAGGGATTGACAGAGGGGAGTTGCAGACACTGAGCGTTTGGTTAGGTGGATGAGTCTAGCAGCTGCATTCATGATAGACTGAAGGGGGGATAGCCTGTGTAGAGGTAGGCCAATGAGCAGGGAGTTGCAGTAGTCAAAACGTGAGATAACAAGTGAGTAGATGAGTAATTTTGCGGTTTCATTGGTGAGGAAGGGGTGTATTTTGGAGATGTTACGAAAGTGAAGGCGGCAGGATCTGGATAGTGATTGGACGTGGGGAACAAAGGTGAGGTCCGAGTCAAAGATGACACTTAGGACCTTGGCATAGGGGGAGGGCCGGATAGTTGTGTTAACAATCTCAACGGAAAAGTTGGGGGAAGTTGCACGAGCAGGAGGAAATATCATGAGCTCAGTTTTTGAAAGGTTGAGTTTTAAGTGTTGCGACATCCAGACGGATATGTCAGTTAGTAGATCAGTTACACGCAAGGACACCATCTTAAGATGATTTAAGAAAAAAGAGGTTTCAGCATAGTCCTGAGAAGCAATATTGTGTTTTTGGAAAACAAACTATTAAATATCTACTTTGTTTTTACATTTTGCTAGGAAATCAAGAGCTGGAATCTGGGCAGCATCAGCACCAGCATCACAACCTTTTGTAGATCATCCCATCCTCAGAATACAGTTAAATAATGTAACGCTTTACATTACTTTGAGTGCCAACCCAGTCAAAATCTTATTGATTTTTTCTGACAGGGACTTCTCATTACGAAGGCTTCTACTTTGGCAACCAACCATTGTCTTTTTCAACTATGAGGTGTTCAAAGTGCTGGAGACTTTCCATCTCAGACATATACTGTAGCTTTACATGCATAGACTCCATTTAGCTGATCAGCATGACAAAAGGAGAAACTCCAAAACGCTACCGAGTGTTGTTTTGTTCAAATAAATCACTTTAGTTGCTATTGCGTATACTGTTTAGCAGCTGCAGTCTCTCTTGTTATAAGTGTATACTGCTTCTGGATCCATGTAGCAATGCCCTGAATTCAAATGTTTGGACATTGACACATCAAGAGCTAGCAGCACTATGAAACCTGCATTGATCTTGAAATATAATTGCATGTAACAGATAATATTAGAGGTTATAATAGTGGTTTGTATTGGTGAAGTGATTGCAGATCTTCTTTTATTCTTTTGAAAGCACCAGCTTGTCTGCTAATTGGACTAGTCCATTGAAACATTCCTTTCATCACCATCCAAATGCTGCTCCGGAACACAAGTCTGCAAGACAGGCTGTGCAAATATGTCATCCGGTATGTGTTTCCTAATATATATGTAGGAAATAGAAAACAGCTCATCATCCATCAATCAGTTATGTATTTTTTTTCCTCAAAAGAAAATCTATCAGAAGAAAAAGAAAAACATGGAGGCTGCCATAATTGACCCTCATACCTCATGCTGACCCTCCTTGAGTCACTGTTTCAGTGGAAGATTGTAATTCTTTTGTCTGACATCTAATTGCTGACATATAAGATACTAAAACCATTCAATCATCACAACAGCCAGTCAGCAAGTATTTTCAAAAGGAGCTCAGCAATGGCAGTCCCTGTATTTCACTCATAATTG